ATGTAAAACAATACCGTATTTTGTATTTTTAATTAAATTTTCATTACAATTTACGAAACCTCTAGGACAGTCTCATAGATTTCGAGGGTTCTTATTGGAATCCCATTCAGAAAATACGGTTGTAGAAGAAGAATGAAAATACAGAGAAGATAAATCAAATATGACTTGTTTTTGTTCATTTTTTTTAATAATCTATGTTAGAATAGCGTAAGATATTGATAAATATTTTCAAAATTGTTTTAAATAGAGTATTCGTATATAGCAGGGCTTCTTAAACTGTGGGGGTGGCTTATAAGTTGACAACAGTAAAATTTTGTACTACGTATTTATATCCAGCGGTGTTTTCTGAATTAACGATTATATAATCAAAATGTCGGTCGAACGAAAAACATCCTGCAGTATCCAAAATTTAATTCTTTATGTAAAAATTAACAAGCACATCCATGTCATTAGTATGTAAATTTGCTTTTGTCTTTAATAAATAGTAACATAATACGGTATGTATATCAAAGATTTGTCTATGATTTATTATCAATAAGTGACTTTATATATATACCTAAATAGCGGGAATTGCGTAAAATTTTATTAGGTGAAAGGTCGTCAGTGGAAAAAAATTTAAAGCTCTGGTATAAAGGCTAGTTTATCGGAGTCGACTGTAGAAGTATCTTCACTGCCGTGATTCTTGGTGAGAGGATGGATATAATCCTCAGGGGAAGAAAGAAATTTATAGATAGAGTCTAATAAACACTATTTTCGAAAATAGTTTCAATTAGTAATCGTTTTGTTACACTATCACTTGCTAGATTGCTCTTTCAATTATCGCCTCCATTAATATTTTTTTGTTAGATATATAACGTTATCTGATCAAACCTTTACAATGAAGAGAGATAATATAGATTTGTTTTTTATCTTCAGTTGTTTCTTTTTTAAATAGTTGATCTATAACATATGTTAGATAGCATTGTTTGGAATAATAATAATATTAAAATATTAGTTTAAAATGTTAAACATTTTCTTAAATTCAATAATTAAAAGTTTTCAATAAGGATACTAAAATATAATAATTTTTTTATCTGTTCGTGTTGTTTTTAAGACGGATTTTAATAAGGAATATTATAAATGAAACATTTTGAAATTTTCTATTCGTGACGACGGCTATTTAATTAAATCCTTCTCTGTGCATCCGTTATTTGGGATCTTCGGATTCGAACTGTAAATAGCAGCTCAAAAAGCCCAGATTTCTTTCTTGTTTAAAGAGTAAATGATAATAAGGAATCATATTGATCTTTCATATTTCTCAATGCAGTCATCTTGTACTGTACAAGCCGAAAACGAATCTCCCGTCGCACTTCTCATACATTTATCTTACTCAATGTGTTTTTCTCTGCCAATTTGTGTTTTTTTTTTTTTTTTTTTTTAATTCTATGAAAAATCGAAAGTGTGTGCTCGCCAGTTATGCTTACCGATCACCAGAATATCCGCGAAACTTGAAAGTACAGTTTCGAAAATAGAAGCCTATAACAAAGTTCAGTTATTAAATTTAGGCTAAATACTTTTATATAAGACAGCCTTTTAGCTTTCATTTAATTATTTTAAAATTTTTTATTTACAAAATAATTCTAAATATTCTAGTATTTAAATTTATTAGCTAAACAAATTAAAGCGGGAAAACCATCTCTTTAGGAAGAACAGACAGGGGATGACAGTTCGTCTGTCTGTCAGTCATTCCTAAATCTCGAGAACGCTATTAGGTAAATGAAATTCAAGCCCAGATATAGAAATAGTGGATACAGGAGACCCCGATTAATTATATAAGCACTTCTTATACAAACCGAAAGTTATGTTATTTTAATCCAAAATGTTTCCCCTAAAAGGAGTTAGATATATGACCGGCACGACACCGTTGTTAACGGAAAAGTATGAAGTACAGGGGCAAGACTACAGTACTAATTTGAGGTGGAAAGCATATATTTTAAATGAGATAAATTAAAAATATGATTACAAATTGCAGGCCGGCATTGTGACGATCACAATAAATAATTGTTTGTTTTATTTATTTATTTTTGTAACGACTTTTCGGCATGGACTGTAAAGCTATATCTGTTCTAATTATATTATTATATCCGATTAATTATTAAAGTATTGTCGAAAATCTATGAATTTGTAACAAGCGATTTCACTCGATAATTTTCTTAAGTATTTTATCGATTTTGTGTGAAGTTTTCAAAAATGTTCCACCGAGTATCGCTATTTTTTGTTGTTCGTATGTTAGTTTTAATCTCGAAGATTAAATAGTTAAATTTTCAGCTATCCCGGAATGACCGTTTTGTTACGTAAACCTCTTCGTTTACGGGTAGTCGCGACATGTATAAGCTGCATTCCACAAGAAAAACGCATTCCTTATTTCGTGAAAATTTTGTGTTGGCTAAAATAGACCTCTTCGAGTGGAATTTAGTATTATTCCTACCTAACCCAGTAACGCGCTAGAGCTTTATGGGGCCCAGAAAATTTTGAATTAAAAGGTCCCATGTACTGTACAGTGTTGACTTCGGGGAATTGGTTTGGGGTCTCCTTTTGTTGAGGCCCGGCAACTGCTCTTTTTATTCATCGGATAACGCGCCACTGACCTACCCCGGTCATTGGGATGCCGCTAAGCGGATATCGAGCTAAAATATTATTATTTTACGGAGAAAACACTTTCTTCGTCCTAAATAGGTGTAATTGTCGTATGTGCATCGACGTAACGCGTTACATAGGAACGAGAAAAACACAATGGACGAAATTTCGTTCAATTCTACTGGACCGAGACGGAACAATTACAACTTTGTTATCGTGATTATCTTTAACGACAGATGCGAATCTCTGTCGCGTTACGAAATGCGATAATTAACTGCATTTCCGAATTCGAACGGAAGTCGTTGACACTCGAACGATTATCGTCGCATGGAGCAACTCTATTGGCTCCATTTGTGGATCCGCGTAGGCCAATTCGTGCATCATTTATCCGGAATCGCGTTTTACGGATAATATCTACATCGAATATCGTCATCGATTATCGGAATTTCTAAGTATCGACTTCCGACGGATAATCGCGGCGCTCCGATTCTCCGGAAGATTTGTTCGTCGCGCGGTCGACGACCTTCTCGATTCATCTTCCGCCTTTCGCGACGTTTCTTTCAATTCTTTTATGTCGTATTTCCGATTTTCCATTGTTTACAAAATTCTCCTTTACCAAAGGACGAGTGTTTCGCATATAAAATAAATAAATTGTTTATGAAGAAATACACGGGAACTTTTTACAGTTCGCAGACTTACTAATTTATTGTTCTGCATGCTTTGATCACATTGCTTTGACTATTTATTGTCGAATTATCGTTACGAAAGAGTCTGTCGAATACGAATATTCGCGTGTCATTAGTTCGAACGAAACTCGGGTGATTTTACCGAATTAATCGAAAAAGTTTTAAGTGTATAAAATACGTTTTTCCGCCTTATTGTTTTGAATAAGAACTGAATATTGTTTAACATAGTTTCTAGGTGACGGTATAGTTTTCCTTTGTCGTTCTTTCGGAGATGATGCGGTCAAGATTGGAGAAAGAAAAGATCGTTGGGTTTGTAACGGGATAGCATTCTTCGTCAGTCGTATAGGCAAATTGTGTTTATTATATCCAAGAATGTCGAAAGCTCGGTATGGGGAGGGAGTAGAGCGAGCTCCTTTCCCTCCTTTTTAAATAAATGAAGTATGTGGAATGTTTCTTTATTAATTAATAAATAACGATCTTAATAAAAATTTTATTTTATTTTTTTGTTAGTTAAAAATAACAATAATTTATAAGAAGTAGAAACAACTACGAGCCCCAAAGTTTTCTCATCTCCCACTCGACTGTATGATTGGAATCCGACTCCGAAACTCGGTCTTATCGAAAATATCATTAATTCGTTATAAAAAAAACCTCTTTATAATCGATTGTAAAGATTCAAAATAATAATATTTTTATTAACTCCAATTATAAGTTACATAAAATTTATAATTAAGTTTAAATAAAATAATAACTTTACAGCAAACAGAAAAAGAGCTTTAATAAACACACTTATAATTCGATCAAATGCAATTACATGCGAGAACAGATTAGAAAAGTTTTAATACAATAGCACTCAGCTTTTGTGGCAAACAAATGAGATTTATTGCTAGATGACTTACCTATAAGACACGCGAGCATCCCGTGAAAGTGAGAAATGTTCCGGAATTTCGAGCCGTTCGACGAGATTTAGTTAAGCAGAAGGAAAATGTCACCAGAGCGGAGCAGAAATATCAGAATTAACGACGTCCAAAACTAAAAAAGGAATTTCGGATCCCGTACTTTCCTCGATAAATAAAAGAACCGAACATCACATCTCTGCAATAGAAGATTAAAAATAAAAATAAAAGTTACTAATTGTTCAGATTCCCCTATCGAGCAATTCAGAGGTAAATTCGGGCGGAAATTCGCTTGGGAGAATTTCCGCCCGAAGACTAATAACTGGAACGAAACCGGCGTCATCAAAGCATTATTATCGAGGAAACCACCGGTCAGTCAATGTCTTCCAAAAATTAACTCCATTTTTGAACAAATTAAGTTTTAGAATTATAATTTTGTACCGGAAGAAAGATTCGACAACTACAAATTCGTTAAACTTTCTTATACTTTTTGGGATGGTCCCAAAGACAAAAAAGTAAGCAGATAAACAAGATTACACGCTCCGTCATCCGATGATACCGTCGCAACATTCCTCATCTCCAATCAAAAGGAACGAGTTAAACGGTGCGCAAAATCTAGAACACAAACTTTCGTTTTCGAATCCATTTGACTTTCTGGGATACAAAAATTTCCGGCGATACCAGACCATCTTAAACACTCTCGGTAAGTGAAATATAACCTTCTCCGGATTTTATACCCGCCTTAATGCCTCGGCCCGCAAAATTTCTTTCGTCTAATTTTGTGAAAGAAAGTTCGTCTTCCCGCCCTACTTTTCCACTTTCACCGTTTCTTCCGTTGGCGGTCGCATCGCACTCGAAAAGAGCGCGATGCGACCAGAGCGACGACGCGCCTGCCGGAAAATTTGGCCTCGTCCGCGATCTTTTCCGTTTTCTATCCGGCGATTTTTGGGCGGAAGAAAGTAACCGAGAAACGGCGTCGCCGCCACCGCGGCGGTTGCCATAGCGACGACGAGTCCAGTCTCCCGGAATCAATCGCCGACTACGGCAGGTCGTCGACGCAATGGCGGAGCCCGTCCACCCACCGACGCTCTGGCTCTGGGAATCGCCGACCGCAACTCGGCGGCCCGGGCAATAGGTGAGTGTTTCCTCCTCCATTTTTTGCAATCGCGGCTGGATTTCCACTCTCCCACCCTCTCCGACCCGTCGGCCTTCGGCCACCGACCCGACGGTCCGGTTGATCGGTCCTATTGGAAATGGGTCCGGCGAGGCGCCGCCGCTTCCCGTGGTCCTCCCGCCAGGAATTGCGATCGGGAGACGCTTCTTCCGTAGGGAGCGAGCACCTTGCGCCACGACGCTCGACTGGTTTGCGCCCGTGATGCGAACCTACAAAAATAGATTTAGAGCCGGGTGGAGAAGGGTGTAAGACTGTCGGAACTTGTTTCTCGGACGTCGAAGGATCAACCAAAAAAAGAAAAAAAAGAGGGACGACGCGGAAGAGAGGAGCGGCTGCCGCCATTTTGTCCGGTCGGAAGGCGACGGAAAGTATCGATCGGTCGGCCCGACCCGGCGGGCGGCCGCGCCGCGCCATCCTCTGGCCACTCGGCCGACCCGGGCTTAGACAAGGGGATCGGGCCAAAGTAGAGAGCGGGCCAAACCACCGACGCATCCTTCGTCAGAATTTCCTAGAGACGAAATCGCTACCCGTGCGAATATCCGGAAGCGAGAATTTGCGTCGTTTCCGGATGCGGGCCTCGGGTTGAGCATTGAACCGCCGCGTCGGTCCGGGGAGAGCAAAATCGGAAAAAGGACGGGAAGCGGGAATCGGTCCGCCCAGACTGTTTCCGGACGAGCGAAATCGATGACCCGCATCGATTTCCGGAAGGGGCGGCGACGGCGACGACGACGACGATGACGGCGGCGCCGTCGGCCGGAGAGGCGCGGGCCTCGCCGCGCGGGTCGGCGGGCCGAACCACATCTAAGCCTCTTGTCTCGTTTCAGGTCTTCGAATCGGCCGACGGATAGCATGAAGCCCGGGCAGGCCCCACGGACGGCGGGTAAGTCTGTATTTTGTTCCGGGTCGGGCAGCTCGTCCTTCCGGAAACTTGAGGGGGCGCGAGTTTCTTCGGCCACCCGGATCCGAAAAGCGGCGGGTACGGAGGGCGTCTCGCTCTATTCCGGATATGACGTAAAGGGGCGTCCTCCGAATCCGGTCGAGTTCGCCGAATTTCTCAAACAAAGGGCGACGAGTAGGGTGCACGATACGTAAAAAAAAAGATATCCGCGGATCGAAAGGGGCCCTCCTCGCCCTCTTTCCGCCGATGAGCGATTCGGTCGCACGAAGGAAGCATTTATACGAATTACGACGGATGGCGGATATCGGACGTTGACCGGAAGCGAATACAGTTGATCGGGAAGAAAGGGGTGTCAGAGAGTCCCTAACGTAAGCTTCTTCGATAAAAGTCATACGAAAAGGTAAGTGAAAAGTAAGAGAATAAAGTAAATAGGGAGAAAATTCCTTAGATGGGATTTTTTTAATTTTCCCCGTAATATCAGAAGCGGTCCGTGCTTAGCTTTCGCTGTTTATATTTCCCGGAAGCGGCTGTGGGAAGCTTCGGATTTTTCTCTTCCAAGATGAGACGATGACGTCCTCTTTTCTTACGTTGCCTATCCTGTCCGAGATGAAAAAATGATCATCTTTACTTTTTTTTTAATATCCTCGTATTTAATCGATAGCCAAACGAAATTCTATGGTTAAATTTCCGGATAATCATCCGACGTATTAGTCGGATGGATGCAGGAGAGAGACGCAATAAGTGTATTTTCTTGTTTTCTTCTAATTTGGCTCCTTCCCAACTTCTTCTCTTTACTCTTATTCCTATTTTCCGGGTGATGACAATTCTACGGGATCCGTCGTTTCGTAATTCGTCCACTAGATGGCGACGGCGGAAGTTAGGCTTTTCTCGGTTAAGTGAGTCGGGAGTCGGTCAAACGAAGATCGATTTTTCAGTCGGTCATTGCCGCGAAGGTGATCCACGCTTTTGATCGCTTTAATCTCGAACTAGAACGGAAACGGTCGAATGCGGCAATGCCAACTCTTTTCACGCTTCGGGATAAATCGAGGCAAAACTAACTTGGCTTCCGTGACGCTTTTCCACACTTAAAAAAACGAAAAAAAGGGGGAATTTCGGTTTTAGTGAGAAAGTGAAGCAAACGTTTGTTTTCCTACGAGAGAGTTTTTTCTAGGGTAAATTTCAATACAGTAATTGATTTTTTAAGGAAAGGTTGCTGTGTCGGTTTTTAAACCGCGTGTTTAAATAATTAAATAAATTCAAAAACAATTTATTGAATATATAAGTGCATAAAACTATATTTTTCTGTATTTATATTTCTATCTCTACTAAATGTATAAAGCAGTTACAAATTGCATTTACAATAGAGTAAGAATTTCATATGCAAATCGAGGAAATAGTGTATTATTGTTTCGTATGAAACACGTCCCTATTCCATCCCATTAGTGGATAAAATGTGCATTGTAAAGGACTTAAAGGCAGGACTATTTCAGTTGAATTTTAATGAATAAATCTACTTCAAGGAGTCTTCGTTCAGATAAGAATGAATGGACTAAGATTAGAGAATTATTCCAAAAATTGATTAAATTTATTTATGCTGTGTGAAAAATATAATGATAAAAAAATATTAAATATTTTTACAATTTATTTTATGTATAAAAATATTTCAATCTGTTAATAAGTCCTTTATAAAACGTCAATTAAAAAAAATGATTTGTAATTTATAAAAGAGAAAATTCTACTTTTTAATATTGGCGAATGTGCTGTAAGTTTACTTTGTGTGCATTATTAGAAAATATTTAATTACCAATTTCTTCGAATAAACTTCGGGTTAAAAAGCATGGGAAACATGTTGAAATACTGTATTGTATAAGGCAATAGGGTTTTAAGATAAAGTTTATAATCCGAATTCATTATTTTCGATGATAACGAGGAGTGTTTTAGAATGACTCGTAAGGAGTTTCACTAAAATTCTGCCTGTTTAAATTATCTAGAATCTGACAGAACTTTCTATTCCAAGATTTACGGAAACATTTTTTGAAATAAAATAATTAAGGTATTTCTTTCAATTTTTACTCACTTGTCTCCTGCTACAAGGTAATAAACCCCGGCTGGAAAAAGCTCCGGAGTTCGTATTAATTCGTAGTGAGATATTGACACAGTAGTAAATGCCTGTGGATATTTACAAGTTAAATATAATATACTTAATTTAAATTAAAATATTTTTCCTATAGGATGGATTGAGTGTTCAGTTGAAAGGAAAAATACACCATGTATAGTATTTCTGTAAAGCAATTTTTAAAATATTTACATCAAATCACATAAAGGAAAATATGCCAAATAATTATTCTTGCAATTAAAATACAAAGACGTTTCTGGTATATGATTAGGGATTTTCGTAGTCACAATTACGATTTTAAATGAATTTCTCTATAAAATGATGATAATAATGTGTAAAATAGCTATTTTCCTTAGTAATATGATTAACATATTAACATTTTATAAATTAATTACTTAATAAAGATTTTGAACACGTTTTAAATGGGAATATATATGGTTATAACTATATAAAATGTAATTTAAAATGGGAATCTCCATAATAAACATTTGAGAATTTAAATAAAATAATAATAAAAATAAATACTGTGCAAATTTAAAAAGCGCAATTTAGTGTATATAAACTTAAGCATAAAATCAATATAATTCCATTATATTTCATTAGGTAACTATAATAATTAGAGTTATAATAGCTCCAAATGATATATAGTCTACAATTATTTTAAGCAACAAAGCATGAAGAAAATACATTATAATTTTTTAAAATTAATAGTTTAAATTCGTAACTTTTCTTCGTTGTAAAGAGTAACACTATTTAAACTTAAAAATAATTATTTTATTTTTAATTTATGAGAAATTCTACATAATAATACTAAATTTTTCCATATTATAACAGAAATTTTCGTTTCTCGCTATCTGTTTCGCCTTTATTTTAGACTATTTACACGTCTAAGATTAATTAATTTCTGTTAAAAATATACAAATATAATAACTAAAAGTTTAAATTATATATTATTTTTAAAAAACCTTACATAGATAATGTAATAAAATGTTCTTTTATTACGTTTGGTTAAGGTTGCGTAGCATAATTGGTTTGAAGTTGAAATGAATCTGAATTGAAAACTTCAAGTTTTAATAGGCCTATAAATTGAAGTTTATAATTCGAATCGATTATTTTCGATAATTCAAAAATTGTTGCGTGTTTTTTAAAGTTTAAATAAACAAATGTGATTAGAAGTCGTTAATTTATTCTTTCTGGAATATTGTCTGACCGAAATGAATACTGTATAGTCATATTCTTTTCGGTCTTTAAGAAATGTGGTAAATATTATAGATTCATAAATCTCGATAGCTTTAATTTAAATGAGATTAGATCTACTCCGTATTGCTCTTAAATTTCTAAAAAATTCCAAAGAAATATATTATACTATCAGAAATCTATATATGTCATTCCGTCAGAAGCACTGACTGAATATCAATACTTTATAAGAACCTCTATTACGATATATTTGTTAAAGTTACTTAAGTATAGGCTAATAATAATGCATACGGACTGTCACATCAAGTTTATTCTTTTAAAAATTAATTAAAATTAATAATTTTTCGGTCTCATTTTATACATAATTCTTAGAGGATCAGAATTGAAATCGAAGGAACGCATTCATGTATTTTAAGTATTAGTAGTCATATAAAATACTGCTGAAACTGTGTGATTAACAATTCTCTGTAATTTTCTGTTTAATAATAATAATAACTTCAATAACGTGCAGTCGAAATAAAGTTTATTTTAGACATTTATAGAGCTTCTGAACCGGAAACGTCATCCAAAGACGTTTTGGGTTTTAATGATTAATATTGATATTCCAGTCTTCGCCATAAATAATGTTGTGAATTTTATATACAATGCCATATGTTTAACTCAAATTTGTAGATCACTTATCATTTGAGAAGGAAGATGAATAATTTTATAAAAATATTCATTCCAGAATAATCCAGCTAAAAGATTATGTAGCACTACTCAAGTAAAAATAATGTACTGTACTGTACGTTATTGAAGTTTAACACATTGTTTTAGTATTAGTCTAATGTTTATTTAGGATTTGTGTATAAGAATATTTATAAACTATTTATTATTTGACTTACTTGATAAATTAAAATAACATTAATTATATTGTTTCATTTATAAAAATTGAAAAATGACTATTTATTATATTGTTTAATCTAACTTTATACATCATTCCTATTGTTATTTATGTAATACTTTTTATAATTGTAATACGTCATAATTTAATCATTAGAGAGGCTAAACTTTATGTCCATCGTTTATAATCTTTCTCTATTTTTTTCGATTAAAGATAGAAATTTTCGTGTTTAATCTTCGTTTTCGGATATTATTTAAAAAAACTTAAACTTATGTAAATAAAATTAAACCCTAAATTTTAAATATTTTCCACAATTATTTGTTTAATTCATTTTATTTGCCGCAATGTCTGCAAAATTTGTTTTAATCTATTACATCTGCAGCATGGACAAATTTTTAAAATTTTACGAGACTAATTTCTCAACAAACAATTAATTTTAGTGTTGTTTTAAACTAAATACGAAACGTCTGCATAGTCATTACAAATTTGTTAACATATACAGTAAATTGTGATGATAATATATCTCAAAAGATTGTTACAGGCACGTTCCTTGTTTAACACGATGCGTCTATGTCAATCATAAACTATATTTCGAACAATATCAATAATTTCATCCTATTTTTCACGTAATAATTATCTTTTTCTTAAATATTCGTCATAGATTCGTAATTGAAAATATATATTAAAAATTTTTTTTGTTATTTAGTTTTATGTCCACCAGTGGCCGAAAAGATAAAACCACAGAACATCGGTAGTTAGTTGTTGGTGATTAGTTCCTAATCAAAG